TCACGTTCTACATAACATAACACAACTCATCTATTTTATTCAAAAATTCCAGGAATAGAATATTCTCGTAAATCTTGTGTCTCATAAATGCTTTATCGGGTTCTGGAAGCGAAAAAGAAGGACTAATGCAACATGTCTAATTGGTTCTACACCTTGTTCTAAAACTCAGCCGCCTAGCCGAATCAGCGGCCGAGAAATCGCTCAACGGTGCCCAACCCTGGCGAGTTGAGGTGATTCGGTTGTGTTACACGAGGGCATGTGAAAATCTTAATTTTTTGGTGTTTTAAAGACAAAAGGGAGTGTTTCTTTGTAGATCTAAGAATCGTGAATAAAGACAAATATAAGAAGTGAACAATCGTGAAAAAATAATGAAATGGCAAAATATGGGTTTGGAGATCGACAATGGCTACAGAAGAAGACATGGGCTTTTCTGTCATTTTTGGTCATTAATCATAAAGTGCGAAAATAACATAAAAAACCATGAAGTCCCCGCGACCTACAGACAGTTGACGAAGATATCGAACCACTACGCTAAGTGATAATAAATTGTTGTTATTACATTTACTAATATATATACATGAATACTAAAAATTAATCCCGATTACTTATCGATTAATTACCGATTTTGTAATTAAGCGCTAGACGTCGGTCGAGCGTACACCTAGCGCCTAGCGAGTTTCTAAACAAAGGTTCTACATCATCCTCTTCTACAATATCATTCACAAACTACCGTCATATTAACTACAAAATTGTATTAGTTACATGTGTTGTATTAGTTATATCCGGCCTAGCAGTACTAGTCTATTTTTTACAATGATACTTTTAAAAAGAAAAATATATTTTTGTGAATTAATTTTCTAAGAAGCCTATACCACCACCTAATCTTAAAAAAAAAACAAATTCAAATGTTGTCTTAGTTTAGTTGTTAATTTTCTAAGAAGCCTATACCACCACCTAATTTTCTAAGAAGCCTATACCAACACCACCTAAATAACAAAACAACTGACGTGTGAAAACACATCACAAGCATAAAAAACCACAACAAGTCTTGTGAGTTTGAACTCTTTTGATATGTCAATTGGATTGTTGTTTATGTCAATAAAAAACCACAACAAGTCTCAGACAAAAACAACAATCCAATTGACATATCAAAAGAGTTCAAAACACAAGGCAAAACACCAACTATGAAGTCTCATGCATCCTCTTCGGCTTCTCGATGACTTCTCCATCATATTTGTAAAATACTCATATGAATCCTTTTCTATTTCAATTTTCTATGGTTCCACGATAACCTTTTCAACTTCAGAGCAAAAAAAAAATGAAGATGCATTTTCTCAAAAATATTTAAACTAGTACAATTAGCAAAATAAATCATTGTTCATATTATATATTAAAGAAAACATATCCATGTATTTGGACAAAAGTAGGAGGAGGAGGATGATTAAACTAACATGTATCATTGGTTCTACAACTTCCTTTGCATGCTGAAAAACCAAAACCAAAATACAACTATATTAATTGCAAACTAATAATTGTAATGATTGTTTTAATTGTTCTAGTTGTACTAACTGAAGTTATGCCAGTAATACAAATTATATGATTTTTAGTTGAATTAGTCTTACTAGTTATACTGGATCGAGTTGCACTAGTAATATTATGTTTTCTTCTTTATCACAAAACTCATATGTTGAGGATGAAATTTGATTTTAAATGAAATAAAATCTTTTTGGAGTAACAATGGATTGATCAATTTGAGATAAGGAACATGTTCGCAAAAGAATGAAGAAAAAAAAGAGATTAAGATATTTGTTGATTTAAGGTCTAATAAGTGACCAATGAATGAAAGAGAATAAATTAATTAAATTAACTGGGTAGATTTAAATCAATTTATGTGATGGTAAATAATTAAATTGACATAGGTGTAATGAATAAGTTTTCTTAATTTATGTTAAAAATAACTTCTTATATATTAAAATAGAAGTCATGACTTGACTTCATGTGTGATTTTTTTAAAAATGGACTATTACTAGAAAGTCATGTTACATTAACTCTCTAATAATTTTATAATTATTATATCTTATGAAAAATCATACCTATAATAACAAAGATACATTTAACAATTTGGTTTTGGTAAATTACCCCCACACCTTCCAACTTAATCACACAAAATATGTCAATAGATATAAATTTAGGAATCTTCTATTATTTATAAGGAAATATATCAATAATAGTTAAATGCATCCACAATATATTAACAAAAAATCACAGATTCGTAATATGGAATATTTATATACCCTAACAAAATTTGCACGCTATATATACTAGATTAATTTATTTCGATGTAAATTTTTAAATTTATATTGTTTTAAAAAAGAAATTGTTTTAAACATTCTTTTTAATAATTTTTTATAATATTAATTTATGAAGCTATAAGTTTAGTTTTTAGCAAAAATTTCTTCGAAGTTTATATTATCTTTGCAAATTAAAGTATACTAATATTTAATCAAGCTCTATTTATATTACTTTATCTAAAAATGAAATACTAATCTAACAAACAATAAAATATAGAAGAAGAAACAAATACATGTTTGAAAAAACATGTATAATATAGAAAATTTGAAACAATCTATTTGATTAAAACATGTATTATATAATATTATTTTTTTTTAAAAAACATTTACTATACATATAGTAAATATGTGAATACCATAATATATACTAATTTACAAGTGGAAAAAATGTTTATATAACTAACTATAAATGAAAACAAACACCCGCGCGGTTGCACGGGTCAAAATCTAGTAAATAAATTAAAATAGGAGGGGGCGATTAGAATTTTGTGACCCTTGTGGTACATAAAATAGGAGGGGGCGATTAGAATTTTGTGACCCTTGTGGTACATTCCTATTGTTTTATGTTGGTCGAGCCGAGGTATAGCCAGTGGAATCGTCATCAATTAATATGGAAAACAGAGAAAACGAAAATTATGTTAATAGATTGGAAACATAGAGTGAAAACTGTTAATAAAAAGAACAGAGAGAGCCCTAAAACACAATTTTTACAAAACATCCCCTTCTTATTATTTGAGGAGAACTTTTGAAAAGAAACCTTTACTTCATGTGTTTATTACAACCATGCCATTTCCTACGTGGCAACTCCACAAGCCTTCTCACCCATTTAAACTAAAAGACCTTAGTTAACTAGAGTAACATGCCATTGATATAAATATACATATATGATATAACAATTGATATAGCAATAGGCAATGACACATTTACTCCTCACATATAGTGAACTACTATTAATAAAATATGCATATAGAAGGCTTGTGTTACATTTTTTTGTACGATTTCATTTTATTGTCTACTGGGCATATATTTAAATTTTATATTTTATATTTTCCTATAGAACGATTTTGTTACATTTTTTTGTACGGTATATTTTATGTATATATATATATATATATATTGTAAATATTGTAAATGTAATATGTAATATAAAACATGCATATAGAATGATTTTGTTACATGTTTTTGTACGATTTATTCAAAATATATTTCGTTACATAAGTATAAATAAAAATCGCAAATGCTATCACCTTATTTTTATTGTCTCTGGGCATATATTTAAATTTTAAATTTAAATTTTATTTTTTAATTTTTTATTCAATATGCCTATAGAACGATTTTGTTATATGTTTTTCTACGATATATTTTATATTTTATTCAAGAAGAGGATATTCGTGTCTCATCAGAAAATTAAGGGATTTTCAGTTTCCTTATATGCATTTGTAGTATTAGTTGTGGCTAGAATTATGTTCAATCACAATTAATGGCCGAATCTGCATGCATATTTCAGTTTCCCTTATATTCATGCATAATATCAGTTTCCCTTATGTCCACGAACCATTTGTTGTTATTGTATTTGAATATTGAATGAATATATTTCATAAATCGTTGAATATTAAACCAGACGACCCACTTTTACACACAAAGTTAATATTAAGTAAGTTCAGTCACATATTTTTATTAAGTAAATCTCGGAATTTTTTCATTAGGTGAACGGTTTAATGGTTTCTTTCCGATTGAATGTCAATCACCTATATATAATATTCTGAATTAAATGAGATACCCATAAATTTGAACTTGCTTTATAGACAAGCGCAATGAGATACCCATAAATTTGAACTTGCTTTAAACTAATTAATTGTTATTTTTGTCTGTAGGATTGCAAACGAAGAGTTTTGAAGACAATTTCAATTATTATATCATGTTTAATTTTCTATTTATTATTTTATTTTAATATAATTTTTTCTCATTATATCATGTTTTATTTTTCTATGTTTTATTATCCTATTAATTATGTTTATTTATTTTCTACTGTTTTTTTAATAGACGATTTATTTACTTTTTGTATCATCATATATCTATAAGACAAACAAATATATAAGATAAACAGTGAAAACTATATTCTATGAATCATTGCTTCGTTTCGTAGCTATACTAATTTCTCATTATATGATTATATGATTTTTATTACTGATTCACATTCACTACCTATTTTTAGTTAAACAAATTAATATACCAAATTATTGTTTGATCAAAGTTAAAATCATCTCACCCCGGGCGCGGGTCAATACCTAGTTGTTTATTATGGCGGATAGCGGAGAAAGAAACCCTAGCGGAAGCAAACTAAAACCAGAGACTTCATCAACAGGGGACAGCGGAGACATCATCAGCTCTATGCCAGATGAGATCCTCCACAATATTTTCTCCTTTATTCCCACTATTCTCGCAGTGAAAACTTCCGTCTTGTCCAAACGATGGAGGCATGTATGGTGCGAGACACCTTGTCTCTCCTTTCCCGGCGTTGAAGCTACGGCCCGAAGGATAAATCAAACCCTAATATTCCACAGGGCTCTGAAACTCACAAGTTTTGATCTTGATTACGTCTATTATTATGTCACTTCACGCGAGATTAATAGCTGGATCAAATTCGCTATGTCCCGCAGCGTGCATAAACTGTCTGTGTCCTTCCGTTATAATTATACTTGTCCAGATTTCTTCTTTCTTAGTTCCTCCTTGGAGCAACTCCACATGAATTGCGCTATTATGATATGCACTCCAGTGTCTTGGAAATCCCTAAGAAATTTGACATTGAATTCATGCAAGCTCTCTGATGATAAAGCTGTTGCTAATATTCTCTCTGGCTGTCCAGTTCTTGAAAATTTGGAATTGTTTTACTGTCTTGCTTTACCTCAGCGTCTTGATCTGAGTAAATCATTAAACCTGAGGAGATTGGAGATTAGGTGGAGTTGCCGAAGTTCATATCCATTAGAGATTATAGCTCCGCAGATCCGTTATTTGAAAGTGATAGTCCTTGAGGAACCATGTACTTTAGTTGATGTCTCCTCTGTGACAGAAGCTAATCTTGAAATTTGCATCCAAAAACTTTTTTTCACGGTGGCTGATTTTGTTCAAATCAGGGTGCTAAAGATGCTAGAAAAGTTACAAAATGTAGAGAGGCTTACTTTTGGGAGAACCCTTCTTCAGGTATATGTCTTTCCTATTCTTGGGCTAAAATTTTTTTTGTTCGATGATTAAGTTTTTACTGTTTAGTCTCTTCGAAGACCAATGCATACATAAGCACATGTCATATGAAAACTTCAACTAACTAGTTTATAACGATATACAATTCTTGTTACGTTTTTTTTTTTAGGTTTCTGTTTTTTTTTTATCATGTCTGACTTTTATCCTCGTATTGCTAGATGCTATCTCTCGCCGAGCTCCGTGGTATCACTTTCCCAATGCTTAAGGTCCACACTTTGATTGTTGAAACAATGATTGTTCGATCTGCTATTCCCGGTATAACAAGGTTACTACAAAATTCACCTGTACTAACGAAGCTAATAGCACAGGCAACGTGTAGCGGCAACATAAACGTATGTTAATAAGACCATGCAGATTAATATTAACTGAGCTAGTCTATATAGGACCAATATTTTGTATGACAGAAAAAAAGAAATATGTGGAAATACATTTTAATTTTCTCGGGGATAACTTTTCTGTGTTCTATATATACAGGATCACACTCTTGACTACTATTTGGGAGTACTAGGTTTGAATCCAGATCAATGCTGGAGATCAGAATATATTCACAACTTTCCTACCTCAGAGGGAATCTTTTCGATGGTGCGTTGCGAGAATGCAGCGTCGAAACTCTTCACTTCGTTCATGGAATTGGTACTGAGAAACTCAAAGACACTAGAGACGATGGTTATACGATTTAGACCTACTCCTGCCCTTGCCTTAGAATGCTTTGCTCAACTGCTTCAGATGCCTCCAACACTTCCTCACAACGATAATGTATCCATTGTACTCAACCCAAGCAATCACTCATTAATTGCATCAGTGTCTTTGTCTTGAATCTATTCTTATTTATGTTTCAAGTGATCTTTGAATATGTGTTAGCTTAATTAAAAAATATTACATAATTGTTGCGGTCCAGCAGCGCATTTTTCTGTCTTCATTCCGTGCTCATTATAAAATAAGAGTGCTTGATAAATGAAATAGAAAGAAAATCCACATTGCAAATCAAGTTCTCTGTGCACTCAAAGAAACCATCACAAGCTAGTGAGTAAACTAAACGTACTCACTAACCACTTTTTACCATTATCATCCTCCTGAAGAAACCTCACAACTGTGTCATAATAACTGGCCGGTTCTTGGGATGCTTCTGCGGCTCTGCACTTGGAGTTCCATCCAAGGTTCTCGAGAACTTTGAGTTGATGTTCCATTGGAATCTACAAATAATTTCACTTGGACAAGTTCAATATGTATTTGAGTTTTGAGTGATATATAATAGCTGAATCATCCTACGATATCAGGACGAACAAACCATACAAAACTAATTTCGCTCAACAAGATCCCATGAGCGATCTCGACAAGATCTTTCTTCGTGACGTGTGTATACCTGCAAAATGAAATGTATAAAACCGAACCGGCCGGTTATGTATTGTGCCATTGTGTGCAATCAGGTTCTGACCAGAGACTACCAGTTTTAAGATTGTGTGGGATTATCGGTCCACTTGCATATATAGAATGGGATTTTGGAGTTCAAAGATTGGATTGTTTTGGATTCCACTTGGTGAATTGTGTTACAGATACCGAAATCTACTTTCTTCACGTCTTCGAATGCTTTGAAGATGATTTGATGGACCTTGAGGAGATATATATAGGTTTCTTGTAGATATGATGCCGTATCTATTTTGTTTATTGCTTAAACTCCAGGAATGTAATTGATTAAACTGCTGCGGTTTCTGATTGAAATGAAAAAGGAAAAACAACAACATGTGAGCCTTTTAAATTTTAGAGAAGTGTAAGATTATTTTGTAATAAATTGAATTTTTGGACCCAATTGTTAATTCATATTAAGAAACATGAGATATTTAGATAACTAAAACACTGAAGGATGAATTCAATAATACCCTTTTAACAGTCCCCTATAAAGAAAGTGAATTTATTGGACCAAGTACACAACCACATCTGATATTATGCTTATCATAGATAAATCTTTTCAAAATGTTCCTTTTTACCAAATTCATATCATTTTTTTTGTAGAATATACAGATAAGTTATATGAATGCATATCGATAAATCTAAATCTTTAAGATTGCATCAAGATATTTTCAGAATATTTTAAAATAATATAATAATATTTTTGTTACCTCCTATTTTATCATGCAGATACAACTTATCTTCTCATATAAAAGAATAGTACATATTAGCAAAAAGCACTTAGTCTTCTTTTGAACTTTGTTTCGGGATAGTAACTATGAAATCACCCCACACGTAAACATGCAGAAATTTATTTTTAACTTTTTAATCTTAAAGTAATTTTTATATGATTTATATTTATTGTTCAATCATTTTGAATCATTTTATAAACTAATTATTTTGTATAGAGATAAAAAATTTAAAATAATCTTATATAACAAAATAGTGAAGTATATTTTATGTTTGAAGATGTATAAATTTAAATATTATGTGTTTAGCATAGCAATATTAAGTAACATAATCTTCTTTAATTATTTTTTTCTTTTTTTGTGCATGTTTAACTTCTTTAATTGTTTCTATCATTTCATTTAGATTGTCAACTTCACTTTTTTTAAAAAAATCTTTCCATGTATTTGATAATCTTTTTTTCCTTGTGATCTTTAAAAGCATTGTTTCTTCTATCTCATCCGCATTGTCAACAGTTTTGTTTATTATAATAGGTACAGTTTTGTTTATTATAATAGGTTGTTAAAATGAAATTTAAGTTTTTCAATTTCTTTTATAAATTTCTGATTTGTATTTTTCAAAAAAAAAAATATTTTAAATATGGTGTACCTCTTCATTAATAATTGGGTTGCCTATGATACTTGTAACCTTTACTCTTGCTGAACTTGCCTGATAATTGAAGGAAGTCACAAAACAGTTAGAACCATCAAATTATAACTCTTCAAATATGAAAAAATAAGACTATTTTATTTAAAAAGACGTGTTGTTTCAAAAAAAAATAACTGTTATGGCAAAAGTATTTTATGTCATACACCACATTTTTTAGACCATTAGCTGAGAAAACACAACAATTAGAACCATCTGATTGTAACTTTTCAATTAAAAAGATGTGTTGTTTCAAAATAAACAATTATCTAAGACAAAAATAATTTTTTAATGATAAAAATGTATCATTGTGGTTCTTAAAAATATATGTACTTTGAAATACATGTATTTTGAAAGAAAAGTTGTCAAAAATTTGATGACATCAATATTTATTGCTAAGAGTGTTTTGTGTCCATTAAATCTTAAAATCAAGTGAATTATGACTATTAGATTCAATTTTTTTTCTTATAAAAATGATGATGTCATATAAGATTTGCTATTATATAGATTGTTAAATTTGTTGATTCTGTTGGACCTGTTGGTCATTGTTATGAAACAGTTTCATCAAGATTGTATCAAAAAATTTAAAAATCGCATAGAACCATTATTGCACATTATAAACAATTTATTAATTTAAAAAGAAATCAAATCTCAAGTTTTTAATGATTTTTGAAACAGTTTTCTCCCTCTATGTTAGCGTTTATAATTGGTTTTGTTTCGTAATTGCAATCAGGGTTTCTTTGGTTCTACAAACATAAAAGACTTTATATGATTGTTCCAACTTTACTGTGACCTTAATTTTAACTTTATTGTATTACCAATATTAACGAGATTGTCAGTACTAGAAACTTATTGTTAATTTCTATGAAACACCTGACGGCTGACAGATGGATTTTATAGAAACTCCGTAACGTTCACAGTTTAATGTCCATAGGCAACGTATGATCTAAACAGTGTGAGTTGTACAAAAGCGACACCACATCCAGTTTATACATATTTGCATATATATTTATATAAAGATACATCAATTAGCACCAGTAATCAACTTGTATATAGGATTATAGTCTGTTTGTTCAAACTTAACTTTTTGCTTTTTGTCTTTATATACATATAGACGAAATATTGTATTAGCTGGTAGAAAGTACGATTTCCGTAAAATCTTTCTGTAAAATACAAGCGAGAAACATCATACACAAACTAAATTTTTCTTTCAACCTTTGTCAGATCTTGTTTAAACACAACAAATGTTGAATGGTAGATTATGATTTCTGTTGTAGTTAAAAAAACATAAATGATTGTGATTTCATTTGAAGAAAAACCACTACCATATTCAAACACATAATCTTATTACATATGCGGATTAATTTTAAATAACGCCCATATTTTGGCCAGTCCCAATCTCCTCGCTCTGGTCATGTGTGGGTGCACTGATTGAGAAACTACAGGTACGGATTGGTGTACATTGTCCTACTTTTCTTTTGGTTTTATGCACATTGTCCTCCCATTAACATATATATGTTTACGTAAATATCTATCCTATATTTTGTCAGGGAACATAGATATCTACCGTATTTAAACATATGAGTTGACGTCTCACGTCTCCTCCCCACATCAACTGTTACTGTTCTTGCGCCCCCAGTATAGAGTTATAACTTATAACATTCGAACCAAAGCTTGTTGAATAAATATCTGCCACCTTCATTTTAACTAGGCATTTGTAATAAAAAGGTTAATCTGTATTTAAGGTACCAATAACTTTTTCTTTTGTTCAAAAGGTATCAATAACTTATAACTTTTTTGTTATACCCCAGTGTTATCTACCAGGCTGAGACCCAACCAACTAATCCACTGGAGGTTTGTATACCGGCGTTAGACAGACCCGGTTAATTGCACGAGAATTAGATATTTATGTCGATGATCATACTAGCGGATATATCTAAGATGATAGATTTCGAACCTGGGATGCTTATTTTTGTGAAACCAGCCATACCACTCGACCAGGCTTAGGCTTGTGTGGTTAATTAATAAATTATAACTCGGTCCGGAATTGTTTTTATGTACGTTTCGTCTATCCTTGCACTATAATCTTGCATTGAAACAATAGACGAATAGATTGTTAGGGTCAAAATAGCAAACAGTATTTTTTTATAAACGTGCCATAATCAATAGTAGTGAGAACTTTTTCACTTTATTGTAACAGTATATTGTTTTATAAACGTGCCATAATCAAATAGTAGTGAGAACATTTTCACTTTATTGTAGAGTTCTGTTACGAACAAAAACAAAATCGTTGAAAAAGAAGAAAGTAAGTTTCAAAATTTACGGTTTCAAGCATTATCAAAGAGTCAAATTCGAGTTTTATAGCACTAAACAACACACTTTAATCAGTTGTTTTAAAATATGAAATTATTTAAAACTAGATTTTGAACCCGCACATCCGTGCGGGTATTTTTCATTTTATAAACATATAACAAAACCTTTCAAATATATATGATTTACATTCTATTCTTATATATTGTATAATTGTATAATCTTATAATTTTAATTATTTTTATATAATATATTGTTGTAAGTTTTAAAATAAAAAAATATTCATATATAAGTTTTTAAATAATTTATTTGTTGTGAGTTACAAAAATATATGTTAACATTTTTGTATAAAAATATTATATGATTTAAAAACTTTAATATGTTTTAAAAGTGAGTGATATTTATTTCTTATTTGAATAAAAGAAATTTTTAAAATAAAATATTTTCCTTTACTAATTTAATATATTTTATATTCATTTCACATAGAATTTTATTTTAAAATAGTATAGAATATAACTAAATTATAAAATATAACAATTTTTCTTTTTAATGAACATTGATATAGATATTTATATATATATATTAATCACGAAATTAAATAATGCATATTTTATAAAAATATTTAAACTTTTTAGTAAGATCTTGTTAGATATTTTCTCAACAAATTTATGACTAATATCTTATTAATTATTAAAATATTCTTCCAATTATATATATTTGAATGGTTAATATAAATAATTAAATATGTTATATTAATGAGATGGTCAAACATGACTTTTTGTAGTAGATATAAATGGTACTTCTGTTTTAATAGTATTGATACACTGAGTTTTAGATCATCGGTTCTTCAGATTAAGACTGTATATCACATCTTAAAATCCCGGAAAATTTGCATCTTAATTGTTCCTAATGCATGTTTGAGGTGTGAGAAGATAAATTATTCGGTAGTTAAAAGCTTAAATTACAAGAAAGCTTTAGAGTAGTCAGTTCAAGAAGAAAAAAAAATCTTTCGAGTCCCTCTAATAATCAATTCAGTTTTTATTATTTTAAGTGAAGTAAAACATATCTATAACAATAATTACAGCCAGAAACTCTAACTCCACTGTTTGGCCAATATCGTCTGGAGGTGGCTTGGCCGGCAAGGTACCATGAGGGCTCCATCGTGATAGAATCCGTACTCTTCCTCGGCACGTTCTAAAAGCTTTTGAAACATCGGGTGTTCTAGAAACATTAATGGAACAACAAATCTTTGCGTAGGCTCATGATATCCATCAACGGCAATAACCGCAAAATGACCTTTTGGGACACGGTCACGGCCGTATTCGTCGGAGCAATGTTTCTTGGCCGAGGAAAAGCCTTTGATCTGCACCAACTTTTCTACAACATTCTTGAGCTTCACAATTCCACCCATTTTCTTCTTTGGCGACTCAACTGTGATCATTCTTTGTCTGGCCATAATATCAAACAAGGTTCCCTTTCGATTTTTTGTTCTCCCGTTTTGTGGGTTCTCTGAAAATTATATGTTCGATTATAGACATGTGAGATGGGGTGTATATATAAAGAGGAAGGGTGCAAAGAAGATAAGGAAGAAGTGAGTATAGGAGACAAACCATGTGGCCGAGAGGTGTTCTTCACTTTGAATTATCCACGAAAGCTGTTTCCGCCGTAAGTTTTAATTAACATCGACTATGGACTAAAACTCAACCATGACGACCAATAAAACACACTTAGATCATGAGTTATACTCTTTACTCTTCAGAACAAGTTTTGAACCATTTCCAACACCAAAATTAAGGATCCGGATTATAATCCTTTTACAGCCTTTTGTTATCTTCAATATACAAATAGTTTATATGGATACACTTATGGATACAAAAGTTAAAGCAGTATTCTTATAGATCTTATATGCAAATCCATTGGCAGGTAACTTCCTTTTGGGTGTCAAACGTGAATTTACTATAGATCAAAAGAGTGTTTTTTGTACAAAATAGCTTCAACAGCAACAGAAGTAAATCAGTTAGAGCCAAATGCACATTAGATCCTCTCACGAATGACGATTGGAATTAGCCGTAACTAGAGCCAAAGCAAGATGCTTGTTATCGTAGATACAAAAAAAAAAGGTTGTTAAGAAAAGATATAATTATTGCATAAACTAGACTATCATACGATATTAATTATAAAGACATACTAGATTTCGACCCGTACAACCGTGCGGGTATTTTAATACAAAAATATTTAAAATGTATAAAATATTTTATCAATAAACATATAAAATTTAATTCTGTATACTATCCAGTTTTATAATAATGTTTGTGTGATTTATAATATTATTAATATAAAATTTATAAGTTTGTATTTTTGTAACAATTTTTAAAACATTATTATGTAACATTAATAATTTATATATTTTGTTTTATTTCTAAACTTGAAACATATGTAAAATGTAAATTAAGTTGGACCTAAATAAACAAAATTTTAGGATATTGTTAAAAGTATTTTACATAATTTTAATTTTTTGTTTATAGATAAAAATTAATTAAAATTTTAATTCTATTTTATGATAATCAAAATTTTAATCAAATAATTTTTGAAACTATATATTGAAAAGATTCTAAAAGATTGTTAGCATTTTCTTAAAACTATTTATTTGTATTTCAAATAAAAATTAAAGATATAAAAAGATTTTATAATGATTTTATGTAAAACTTTATAAAATTTTAAGGATGGTCCAAACTAAAATATCACACATGAAATGAGTCATGACTTCAATTTTAATATAATAGAATATAAGGATCTATTTGTGGGATTCTATTTATTGTAAAGCTTATTTATGAGATTAATCTTATATATTAAAATAGAAGTCATGACTTGACTTCATGTGTGATTTTTTTTTTTAAAAAATGGACTATTACTAAAAAGTCATGTTATATTAACTCTCTAATAATCTTATCATTATTATATCTTATGAAAAAATATATCTATAATAACAAAGATACGCTTAAAAATTTGTTTTGGTAAATTACCTCACACCTTCCAACTTATTCATGCAAAATATGTCAATATATATAAGTTTAGGAATCTTCTATTATTTATAAGGAAATATATCAATAATAGTTAAATACATCCATAATATAATAACAAAAATCACAGATTCGTAATATGGAATATTTATATACCCTAACAAAATTTACACGCTATATATACTAGATAAATTTATTTCGATGTAAATTTTTAAAAGATAAAATGACTAAAATAGACCTAAATTTTTTTTTTATCACAAATATAGACCTTAACAATTAAAATGACCAAAATAACACTTAAAATGTTTTATTAAAAATACATTTATACCTTTGGGTTAACTAATCCTAGATTTTTTTTTGTTTAGAGTTAAGGAGTGGGGTTTTGGGGAGGGTTTCAAATTTTTAAAAAATTTAAAAACTTAATTTTTTTGCAATAAAGTGTTATTTTGGTCATTTTAATTTTTGAGGTCTATTTTGTGATAAAAACTTAAAAGAGGACTATTTGAGAGAATTGCCCATTTTAAAATTATATTTATTTTAAAAAAGAAATTGTTTAAAAAATTCATTTTTAGTAAAATTCTTTATAATATTAATTTATGAAGCTATAAGTTTAGTTTTTAGCAAAAATTTCTTCGAAATTTATATTATCTTTGCAAATTACAGTATACTACTATTTAATAAAGCTCTATCTATATTACTTTATCTAAAAATGAAATACTAATCTAACACACAATAAAATATAGAAGAAGAAACAAATACATGTTTGAAAAATATGTATAACATAGAAAATTTGAAACAATCTATTTGATTAAAACACGTATTATATAGTAAAACATTTACTATACATATCGTAAATATGTGATTACTATAATATATACCATTTTACAAGTGAAAATAAAATGTTTATATAACTAACTATAAACGAAAACAAATACCCGCGCGGTTACGCATGTCAAAATCTAGTCAATACTATTAAAAGGGAAGGAGTCCAAAAAATCTACCTATGAAAGTTGTTTGGACCTTTTTATTAGAATCTTAATATGTCTATGATTATAACAAATAATGACATGAATATTTATTATATCATTCCCTCTTTCTTCGGACATACCATATTTAAGCTAGTAATAATAACATAATAAAGAGAGTACCATTTATATGGAATTTTCATGATCATTATAGTTGTCACGTTTACAAAATTCAAGAAACCCACCATATTCTATTAATTCATTCCAGCTGTGTTATATGTTTAAAATACAAATTGTTAACTAATAAATATAACTTATCACTATGGTTATATAGTTCTTTTTTTGGGTCGAATATGGTTATATAGTTCTATAAACATTAGTATATGATCGATACTATTAATACATGTAGTTCTGTTATATACTTATAATATAAATATATTATTCTGAAAAAGACGAAATATATATCACCAAATTATATACTAAATTTCATTATTTATATATCTATGTACATAATCATATATCACCAATACTAAATAATGATAATAAGATACTAATTTTTGATATTTATATTTTAAAGTTAACTATAATATACATGCACTATTTTGTTTATCATAATCATTTATCAAAACCACTCTCAAAGTTCAAATATAATTTAATTAAAACTTTGAAACAATATTATCTAACACACATATCAAAACAGAATATCTCTATTAGACATTTTTTACCAGATATGTCTGTTAAGATACACACTTTTATTAGGACAATGATCTTTTAAAAGGGTGTAAGTAAAGTACGTCCCAAACTTTATTTATTATCTGAAAAAATCTTAACACAAGGGCAAAGAGATTAAAAGAGAGAGTTTGGGTAAATAATTGTTGGTTCATGGGTTAACAATAGGGTTTTGCCGGGTAATATTGAATTACATATATTATATTTTAATATTACTTTGCTTTCAAAATATTTTCCGGGTAAACCATTATTGATTCACAGGTTAATGGTAGGTTTTTGGGTCTCATATTTTTAGTTAATATATTTTCATTAAATAATTTTGTAGAAACATATCAGTTGGCAGAACATCTGATAGAGTGCTACATAAAAAACATAAGCTCTACTGGATTATATACGACACCAGATTTGCCGATTTAACCGCAGATTCAGATAGAATATAAAAATATATATTATATAAATATTTTTAGGATATTTAGTTATTTAGAAATTAGATATAATCAATATTTGTACGCATATAATTTATATTTTAAAAATCAGGTACCCATTGGTTGTCGGTTTGATTTCAATTTTTTTGACTATAGAGATGTTTGATTATTTATAAAATTCCTTAAATTTTGATTTCAATTTTCCAGTTTGATATGGTTCAATACGTGATTTCAGCTAAATTTATCCAAATATATACATCATATTATATAAAATAAACCCGTGCTTTTCAAGCACGGATCAAAATCTAGTATGAATTAAGAAGAAGAAAGTGAGATTCTTCTCTATTTGATTTTTTTAGATTTCACCAGAGCAACTTCTTTAATAGTCTTCTGTAACTATGCATGTTAAAAAAAATTAATTGACTAAAATTGGTAGAAATTTAACCTTTTAAATAAAATTTCTGAAGAAATCCGATGTCGGTAGACTTCTAAAAAAATCTTTTTAGTGTCACAAGAAGTCATCGAAATATCGTAAAAAGTGATGGAGATGAGGAATAAGGATGTTTGAGTTGAATAATTTTGAAAATAAAAATGAGTAACAAATGAAATTTCCGTGTACTATTTAAATTTTTAGGGTGAATAAGGTAAAACAAAAATAGTGTTTTTATGTAAAATTCATAAAATAGTGTGTATTCCACCAAGAACTTGAAGATCTTCAATTTCTCGCCAAACCGCAAAATCATATTTTCCCGTCAAAATTGTAATATTGTATTTTCCGTCTAAACTACAAATCGTGTTTTTCCACCAAATCACCAATCTCATTTTCCCACAAGACTGTTAAATATGGTAAACTATAAAACCATGTTTCCATCAAAACTGCACAATCGTACTTTTCCCCAATACCTTAAAATTATGTTTTCAACAAGTCACAAAATGAAATTGTTATATCTAGATTGTATAATCTTATTTTTCTGTCAACTGGCCGCATTCACAATGAAAATTCAATTATTTATGTAAATATTTTGGGTAATTTTCTCAAATAATCTTTTTATTTTTATTTACTAAAAACCCGACAAAAAGAAAAATGAGCAAAAGAGATTTATTAAGAGAAAAAGACCATTTACCCTCATTTACTTTATATATATAAATAAATAATTATAATGAAAATAATTTTTTATAGTTTTTCAATTATATGTTTTCCAAATTAAACTTTTTATAAATCCTTTTTTTTTGAAATTTCTGTTTTCAAAATATTTTTCAAATTTTCTTTTTGAAATTCTTAAATGCTTTCGAAAAATATTTTTAAATTTTTACTTTCAGTTTTTAAATTTCTATGTCTTTATTTATAAAAATTC